CATTCTATTCCTTCTCCAGATATAATAAGTTTGATTAATGACAATTTAGTGGCAAAAGCATTATCATCCATTTTATCCATCTTATCTGCTGAGATATCAAAAATTGTTTGCATTACAACATAGATATCAATTTCCTAATTGAAAATACTAATTCTATAAAAATGTACTGAATATAAAATAAATAAATCATTATATTAACAGCTCAGAGGCAATATTTTTAATTTCCGCATACTCGTACGAGATACTATTAGCGAAAGAGTGTTTTCTTGTTCGTATGAAAATCCTGACTTCTAAAGTATTCACATCGCGTGCAGCATAAAAATTAATTGCGCGACTATGGTAATTACACCGACTTGGAGAGTTTGTTTAAAAAGCCGGAAAAAATTAGCTTACATTATCGCGCTAGATTTACTATTTTTCCGTCTTATAAAGAAAGCCTTGCAATTTGCACGAATATATCGAGATTATTAATTGAATTCTGAATGCACAAATAATTCGAGAGGATGATTGATGTATAAACAGATACAGAGATAAACACAGATGTAGATTGCTGTATTAAATTAAAGTCAATTAATTCAAATTAGCACAGATTAGAGATATCAATCGTTATCGTAAGCGTAATCGATGACGACGCGATTGACATCCTATAATTAATTATAGCGGGCAAAGACGGATTACGTAACGAGTCTTTTTATAGTCACCGCAACGCAGGACGCAACAACATTATGGATGCTCGACGTCATTCGTGGTTTCGGAGCCATCGCAATGCGACTGACTTTTCAGTCTTTTCACTCGTGAAATAATATGCCGCTACTCGCACGTCACAAACTAGAAACGAATCTCTCCTTATTGCAATGATGCATCCGATTTACTTTCTGCTGCTACAGAACAATGCTAATGAAAATCGTCTTAGCTTGTAATTAAGAGCAATTATCCACGACTTGTTCTCGCAATTACATATTAAATGTTCAAATGATTTAATACAAGATTAAATCCGACAAATTAAATTTTAATATTTATTTTACACACACAATGCAAAACTCTTTATTGTTTTATTATGAACAGAATGGAGATAATAATTAGATAATGTTTTCATTAATAAATTTAGATATTTGTAATTATTACTTTTCTTAACATTTGGATACGAGTATTGGCAAAGTTTTTTTAAGACTTAAGGGATTTCAGAAGTGTCGATTTTTCTGAGGGGGTTCCGAAGAAATTTGAACATAAAGTATCTTTCTCGTATCACGATTTCGAAAAAGATTAACTTTCTTCCGTGAACTTTCTTCAGCGGTGTGCGCAGCAGAATGCATCGAGTATTTGAAATCAAGCACTTGAGATGCTTGCGTAGACCGATAAAGCCAGCATAAAATTACGAAAGAATTTTTACGGCTTGGCCACAAGGTAAGGAAAAATAATAAGAATAAGAAAGGCTAATTAGGCATTTAAAGCGCTCAAGAAGTCTTGTTCCGGTCTTCAGAAATAAATCCTCAGTTAATTAGACCGCAAACTAGAGGAAACGCAAAAAAGTGAAAATTATGAAAAATTAATGAAATTGAAATACATAGACAAAACATTCACTTTGGGCTTGTTAGACAAAAAGCAAGTATTAAAAAAGACAGAAACTTATGTACATATAAATTGTTAAACAGATGATGGAATAACAAGATCAAAATAAATTAAGATCACGGATGATTAACATATTATTTCAAGAGTATCGGGGATTATGCGTGATTATTATCTAATAACGGTGCAATAGATCGCTTCTGATCGACTCACTGTATAACGGTCTCTTTAATAAGATTATCAACGTCATTAAATATTTCGAGGCAAAGATGTCTCCTTACACCAATAAACTTCGTTTTCAGAGCCATTGACTTTTGAAAAGTTTGAAAAGTCTTAAGACAAGTGCAAATAGAAAATTGGGGCCGGTAGAAATCCCCGTTTACACTCAAGCATCGTTCGACATATCGGTTGATACGCGTGTATACGCTTTTGCTTTCTAAATGTTGCGACCCTCAAGATATTACCGGGCCTCTCGAGAAACGTCTTTTTGTTATTTGGGTTATCTTCAATGGTAGACAAGTACACAAATCCGTTTCCGATCTCATCCACGTGATTGCTGATATTGTTTTGTCTCGTCTCGAATTTCAAAATTTCTCCTTAATTATGCCGTACCTCATGCGAGATTCTAAAAGATAATAAAAGATAATATAATAAAGGTAAGAATAGTAAGAAGATAAAATGCGTTTCAATCAATCAAAAGTTAATAATAATTTGTGCGTACAACAATTCTCTTTCATTCTCGACAGCATGAGATTTTATCTAGAAATAACAGAATATTCTTATCTGATTGCATGAGAAAAAATGTTTAATTCTCTATATACATACAAATTCTATGTAATAAAATAAATTTTAGATAAATACACGCAAAAAGAAGATTTTCAGAGAGAGTTTCTTATTTAATTATGTCTCATATATTTCATGTTGGAACCTTTCTTTCGCAATCGCGAATATCCAATTATAAGCGAACAACCGAACCGTCCGAAAGCGGATATCCTCGGTAAAGAACGCGGGAAATGGCCGAATATCCTCCGATGTTTTTGCTCCGATGGCTCTCGTGCCAGCGGCTTTCGAAAATCTGGAGCAGCTAACGGGTGAATGATTTACGAACCGGAATAGCGAGAACGTATACCCCGAGTTTCGTGTGCGAATATCGAGGCGCAATATCGACTCTCTAGCGGTCGACGTGGAGACGAGGGAATTCACTTTCATCCATGAGTCGGCGCGACGTGTTAAACGGATACATGCACTTAACGCAGTTTAACGTCTACCGTTAAACCGCGTCACTTGAACGCTCCAGCACATCAATCTCTGGTGTCTTCTCGTTTTCTATTTTTTATCACCTGTCGTCACCAACGGTATCTCCATCTCGATACTGCTTCCCGATATCATTTCTCGACAAGCGCGGAGTGTCGCTTGATACTCTCGCTTGCCGATCATTCTGGAATCTCGCGAACGAGCCCCTCGTTAGATCTTATTTTCAATCTCAGCTGCTCGTTGCAGCAGCCCCGGGCGAGCGCGCGCATTGTTGTATTCGCGATAAAAAACGGAAAATGCGCTTGCACACTCCGTATGCACGAAACCGTACGTTTTCTCGTACGCTTTCTCTCGCGACACCGCGAGAAGCGGTGTTCAATTCGTTTGAAGAAAATCGCGTGGTCGTAAGCGCAAAACGGAGCTCTTTCTACGTTACAGGATTCTATTCGAATTTCGACCTTTTAACTGCACCTTTTTAAATAACCCCGATTCCACGCTCTCCCTATTAACGCTATACCTATCCCATTTCACATCGCTTGTTTGATAGGCGACGTTCGTTTCGCTTTGCCATTTGGACACGTATCACCACTTTACTTGAAGATTACATAAACAATAATAGCTGCAGTATGTATGCTGAGATTTCACTTAAATTACACTGAAAAGAGATAATAAATTTTAATAAATATTTGTTTGAATAGTTGTAACATTTAATAAATATTTACTAAATATATAAACGTATATTTATTTGATACATAAACTATTAATTTAGTTATTTTTTATAGAGTAAATATTTATTTACTATAAGTAAATACTTACTTACAATTAGTACTTTTTCAAAGTAATTGTATTAAGATTTAAAACATTTTTTTTTTCAGTGCAATTATATCTTATCGAATTTTCGTCTTAAAAAAATAATATTTAATATTTATATTAATAATCATTAATTAAACATTTTACCAATGTTACTTGATGTAGAATATAATGAAAATTGTCTTTAAACACTTACAATTAGATGAGCATAAAAGCTATGGACGCAATTTAATACTGTTTCAAGCTCATTCTTCAAAGAAACAGATAACTTTGTACTTGACATATATGTATGGGAAGTAGAGGTTTTTAATTTTTAATCTTGACATAAATTTCCGGATAATTAAAATAATTTAAAGTTTTCGAATATATTTTTATGTATTCGAAACGAGCCGCATTTGCACAGCTGCGAATCGAATTAAATGTTACATAGAATGGTATCTAAGATTTATGTATTTCAACAATATCTGTCTATTCGGAATTTAAATGTTTTTAAAAACACTTTTAAAAAGATTTATGTCTTATAAGTATGCATAGAAATATCCGCATACACTACTGTTATGTACAAAAATATCATTTTTTTAATATTAGAAGAGATCAATGATCTGAAAACTCGTTTTGGATTCCAGTTGTAATTTAGAAAAATATTACAACGTGCCTATAATATTAAATTATCATTAATAATTAAATGTTCCATGTATTGCTACACCAACATTGATTTTTATTAATAGGGAACAGATAGCGTAGCTTTCGCAGCAAACTCATGGGACAAAGACCGGTTCGGGTAGAAAGAAAACAAGAAACCTTGTTTCGCGATATCTAACGTGGAAGGCATTAGGCATGTTTCCGTTCTTTCTCTTTTCGACAATATCGAAATAATCTGGAGGCGAGGCATAACCTTGTCGCATAACCTTGCGAGTCTTGAACTTCACTGTTGAAACACTGCAGGCGCGGGAATAACTGGAACCGCTCTTGCTTGCTCGACCGGATCGTGTTCTCGATCACTTTCTCCGAGTGGATGATATCGCCCACCTGGACAGAGAGACCTGGTCGCGCTCCGGAAGTGGGGGTGTTAGAAGGAGGACGATGGTGGAAGAAGAGATGGAGGAGAGGAGGGTTCACACACACACACATACACAATCGTAGGGGGTCCGGGAGCCAAAACGGCGCTGGGCATTACCACCACTTTGCAAGTTGCAGATGAAATTCCTCGATTTCCACTACGTGAGACACCGACGGGACCACCTCCATCTCCACCGACGGGTTCGCCACCACCGCCGTTCACGCGATCGGCCGCTGCTTCCTTACCATGATGCTCCTGCGGTGATGCCTTCGGGGGAGGATACGCGCCTATATAACTACGGCGTTCCAATGATTGGACGAAGTAAGCTACGTTTTCCTGCGCCCAGGAACAGGAGCACGCGGCCCGAGCCCGACGGGCGGCACTGCGAGAAATATGAGGATTCGCCCGGGATGCGCGGTCAGTTGTTCTAACAATTTTTACTCTTTCAATCGGTCTCAGTTCCGTGCGATGTCGGCGAGTCGCGCGCGCGTTGTGCTCGCGCCTTTCCGAGTCATGCTACCACCAGTCATACTTGTCATCATCTCGCGCAGATCTTCTAGTTAATTGGCGTGATTTAAGTAGTTGCGTCGCAATGCATACCGGAAACATTTTCAAAGTGCATCGTTTCAAGTTCGAGAAGACGTTCTTCTTCGGTGTTTGTCGCTTATTGCGACAAACGAGCGTGGTGCTCAATTCGACGGATATAAATCATCGCCATTTTGGACAGGATGTATAAGTCTTTTGTTAGATTTTTGACTGCGTTGCGGTTCGTTATAATCAAATCAAAGCAAAGAATTTGTCATAAGCACGCATCAATATTTTTGTGAATTGAAAAGCTTATATATATTTATAAATTCACGGGGAATTATAAATCTATCTGCCTACACAATTTCTTTTTTTATTTTTAATAGATTTAACAAAGTTGACTATTAGTTTAAAATTATACGTGATTTTAAATTTCAGGATTTTATTTATACATTGTATATCAACTTTTGGATTTATGAATCTTAGGCCAGTATACATAGTCATCTTAAGTAATGTCTTAAGACTAAGATTACTAATACGCCTCATAACATAAAATAACTAACACAGCTCTTAAGTACTAGCTCAAAACCACCTCGAAACTTGAGCAACGTCTATGGATTTCGTCCTGAATTTGCCATCAGAAATCTTTTTATGTATAAATGTCAATCTCTCTATAATTTTTTAGACCAATTTATTTCATTTAGAAATATTTATGTATTCTAATAAATATTATCGGCCAGTAAATACTTCATTACGCTAAAATTATCGTGTCTATGTGTGTACTATATTGATTACAGAGGAATTTGAAAAATTATTCCGCTTACCTCAATTCGTTAATATTAACGTAATGGTGTTAAAAATTCATGAGAAACAAGAGGCAGAAAAACATTTTTATCAACAATTACTAATGAGTTCTTGTAGTTATTATATAATTGTGTTGTTTACAGGCTGTACTAGCGCTGCTACTGCAAGCCGCTCTTGTGGCGAGTAAGGCTGTGGATCAAACGCAATTACAGCAGAAGTCACAGCAGCAAACTCCGTATGTATGACAACTTTAACAATGAATCCAATACAATTAAAATGTCTATATGAGTTTCCGCGGTTTATAATTTACGCTTTAACAACCACGGAAAGTGGTTCATATAGGCATTTTTATTTATATTGGATTATTCTTTCTATTTAGTGTCTTAGAGAGTTACAAAACTATAATTAACTTAATTTATTTTGATTTAATAAAAAAGGAATAATTTTTTTTCCAAGCCATATTTGATTATAATGTGTATGATGTATGTTGTCAAATTTCATATTAATTTGTCAAATTATGAGATGTTAGTGATTAATGATGCGCTTCCAAGTTCCTTTTTATTTTTTTTTTTTTTTGCACACACATATCTATACTTTACAATTTTACTATTTTATATATTCATTTTAATGAAAATAATTTCGAAATATAGAGAAACAGATGTAGACTTTGAAAGGCTTTTGCATACAAAAGAAGATAAAGATAATAAATATGACTATAAAATTTGTTACGTTTTTGGTACTGAATGATTGTCGCAGATACGGTACCGATGCGCAAAAACGATGGGGAGGCGATAGTGGTAATTATGGCAGCAGCGGTTATGGGAGTGGCGATATTGGTGGTCACTTCGGTGGCGGCGGCGACGTCGGCGGTCATTTTGGAGGTGGCGATGGCGGTGGTCATTTTGGAGGTGGTGACGGTGGCGGTCATTTTGGAGGTGGCGATATTGGTGGTCATTTTAGCGGTGGCGATGTCGGCGGTCACTTTGGGGGTGGTGACATCGGAGGTCACATAGGCGGCGGTGACATTGGTGGTCATGGAGGTGATATCGGTGGTGACATTGGTGGTCATCTAGGTGGAGGTGATTTTGGAGATGGCGGTGGAGGAATCGGAGACCATCATGGCGGCCATGACGATCATCATGACAAAGGCTACTGGAAAAAGAAACTAATCTGGAAGCCGGGCTGGAAGAAGATCTGGAAACCGGCAAAGAAACAAATCTGGAAACCTGCATGGAAGAAAATCTGGAAGCCTATTTGGGTACCAACTCAGAAAGCGGTGTGGAAGGAAATTCAAGTACCAGCTTGGAAGAAGATCTGGAAGCCTGTGTGGAAAGAGATTCAAGTTCCGGCGTGGAAAGAAATACAGGTGCCGGCTTGGAAAAAAATCTGGAAGCCGATTTGGCAGCCAATCAAGGTACCCGCTTGGAAGGAAATCCAAGTACCCGCGTGGAAAAAGATTTGGAAGCCTGTTTGGAAAGAAATTCAGGTACCAGTGTGGAAAGAAATTCAAGTCCCCGCTTGGAAAAAACTTTGGATTCCCGAATGGGTGAAGGTTGGCATACCGGGTGAACACTTCCACGGCACGGATCATCATGGATGGCAATACACCAGCCATGATCTTTGGAAAAAGAAGTTGATCTGGAAGCCGGTGTGGAAGAAATATTGGAAATCGGCGAAAAAACAGATCTGGGTCTCGGATAAGAAACTTGAGTGGAAAGAGGCTTGGAAACAAGTTTGGAAACCAGCGAAGAAACAAATCTGGGTAGAGGATAAAAAACTGGCCTGGAAAGAAGCTTGGAAACAGATCTGGAAGCCGGCCAAAAAACTCATCTGGGTCCCTGACAAGAAACTCGAGTGGAAGGAGGCTTGGAAACAAATCTGGAAGAGTGAGAAGAAATTAGAATGGATCCCCGACAAAAAGCTCGCTTGGAAGGAAGCATGGAAGCAAATTTGGGTACCAGCTTGGAAGGAAATCTGGGTACCAGCGTGGAAAAAGATATGGAAACCAGTTTGGATATCCGAGTGGTTCCCTAATGAGGATCATCATCATCATCACGGCTGGGACCGTAAAGACACACAGGCTCAGAACACTCAAATTGTGCCTTATAGTCCTGAGAAAGGTGTCCAACAGAATAAGCAAACACAGCAACAACAAGCGCAGCCACGACAACATCAGCTACAGGAACGTAAAGTGGACAATAACAAAGTCAAATGGGACAGTTCCCATTCTTTCCAAGCAGGTTCGCCGACGATCACGCAGGATTTAGTACCGCCACCTGCTAATCAAAACGGAGGTCAAGCCAACTTTGCGTTCCCTACCCGTTGACAGGGCTAGATTTCCGTGCAGAATAATCGCACTGTAATTCACAAAAAAATGCTTGTACAAACATCTCCACGGGAGAATGCTGTAACATAAGCCGCTGTATATACTACATCTTAGGATTAATATAAGGTCGCGTAAAGCTTAAGTTACTCGAAATTGTTTGACTGACGCGCTCCCTGTCTTTCGGAGTACCTCCTTTACCTAGAAATGTCGTAACCTTTTTTCCCTTTCCTTGTTTTCTTTTTTTATACACGTTGTTGTCACTCCAATTGTTAACTAATACTGTTACGAATAAAGTTTATAAGTATTTTTTTTGTTAATTCTTTGACTATCGTTATTTCACCCTTGGTCTTCAAGTATGTTTTTACAAGAACAGTGATACAACTTTTTTACTTGTTTATTTGATATGTGATAATAGAATAAAGATAAATCAGATATACATAGCAAGAGTGGAATTTACAAAATATTTTTTAATAACAGAAAGAAAAATTATATGCACATTTTAATTTTTTAGATGTACGAAAGTCTATACATCGAATAAATTCAACAAAAGAAATTTTTAAGATATTGAATGCGTTCAGTATAAATACTTTTTGATTGAATATTTATTGTGCAGTAAGCGTATATAATTGACATACACTTTTAAATCTAGACAAGTTACATTTACTTCCTAAAAATCCTATGTTTCATAAAAATAATATACATAAAATAATCAACATTTTATTAATGAACGGTTATCCATTACAAGTAATAATTGATACAATAAGGAAAAGGATTTATCAGAAATTAAAAGTAGAATATAATAGGATGGATAATAGTGGAACAGATGAAGAAATTAATATCACTTCTTATTTCACTATTCCATATATTTCGAGCATAGAGAATAAAATAAAAAATCTTTTTAATAAATATAAAAATGTAAAAATAGCTTTTAGAGGAATAAACAAATTAAATAATATCATTAGGGTCCAAAAAGACAAATTAGACAAAATGTTACACAGTAATGTTGTTTATAAAATAGCATGTAAAGAATGTGATGCGTCATACGTAGGACAGACGAGTAGAACCTTAAAAACTAGAATAGCAGAACATAGAAATCACATTAATTGGAATTCAACACAAAGGTCGGTAATTACAGAACATAGATTGGAATTTTCACATGAATTTGACTGGAATGGAATAGAGATATTGGATGAAGAAAGAATTTTAAACAAGAGACTTACATCGGAGATGATTCATATTAAAAGACAAAAGAACAGTTTGAATCTACAAACGGACACGGAAAGACTGAATTCGGCGTATGAATGTTTGTTAAAATAATAAGAGTTTCCTATCTTGTGAGTTTGTTTGTTTGCGAACATATACTTAGAGATAACATATATACATATAATAAGATACACGCTACGGGTCATTTACTTGTTGATGAGCGACATAATAAGTAATACGAGGATCGTTATATTATAATATGTCATGTAAGTGGATATTTAAAATGTAAAAAGTTTTTTATTATTTATAATGATTAATGTACAACAGTATTGTATTGTTTGATTAGTGTATTTGGAAACACAGTGATGTTTAATTAATAATAAGGAAACGATATTGAAAAGGATCCAATCCAAGGATCGAAACGTATAATGATTGTAAATACAATAAAGATTTGATTACACGAATATCACCTGGTGGTAGACTTGAGTTGGCTTACACTTTCACGGAATTTATATACACGAGTCGATATACTGAATGATTCCTAAAAATCATTTAGTCATTTTCTTCGCTAATAATGTAATTAAATAAACATTATATTTATATATTTATTAACTTTTTTTGTTCTTATTGTCTTATTTTTCTTATTATTGTCACAAATACGAAACTTTAGACTTAATTTTCTATTTTAGATTTCTAGAAAGAAGTACAACAAATTATCATTGAATGGGAGAAAACACTGATACCTATATTTTACATATCCAACTTTATTATTTTATATAATTTCATTGATTACGGAAACACACGTAGTAAACAGGATAAGCGTAAACCAATTAAATTGCACACCAGGAGGAATAATTGAACGATATAAGAAACGTTATATTTAGAATTACTTTACATGAAACAAACTATAAATAATAGGAAGTTTCTGCAACATCGTTTATCCATCAGATACGGTGAATGCTAAGGTCACGTTATTTTCTTCTTAACAATAACAACTAATTAAAACTAATTAAAACTAATTAAAAAAGGGATAACGTGAGTTTAGCGTTTATCGTATCTGAATCTACGTTATTGCAAAAACTCCCTAATACGTTTATCTCTCGTAAGTGATAAAAGTTTTGAAATAAAATAACTTGATAAATTTAATGGAACATTTAGAAAAGAAATATGCTGCTATATAACGAAACAATAATACTGACAATAATGGTAAACGAACAAATTATTTTTTATTTTAGAAATAACGATAACTCTAAAATATATATAATTCCCCTTTTCACAGTCGATTAACTGGACATTGACTTTCTTCTCTCTTTTATATCATATACATCGGAAAGAAAAGCCGAAGTCGAGAGCTTTGTATTATATATCGTTACGATAACCGTTTCCTCAAAGATAAACTATCTAAACGGTCACTCCAATTCCAAAGCAAATCGCCATCATCCCGAACTTATGAAGCGAAGATGATGCAACGTGAATACGCGCACGTATTCCTGCGAAATTGGAGAAAGTGGAGTCTGTTATGGAAGGCAGAGGCGACCAGCATGTGTAGAGGACCTCGACCGTGGAGAAAGTATCCGTGCACCCACACAACGATATAAATTAATCCATGCCACCGTGCTGTCCCGGTACGGCCGCACCATATTGCGCGACGCAGACTCTGCTCGATTGATGACGATGACGATAGGATTTCACTGACGATAGGAGTCAACTACGGAAGATTTTTCTTCGATCACGCGATAAACGAGATATAATAAAAAGAAAAAAGGAAAGAAAAGAAGAGAGAGAGAGAAGAGAATTTTAGAGAAATCGTGATACGTTTCCCTGTATGCCGTTTCCTTGATATGACAGACATCAGGAAGTATTTTCACTTTCGTCTGACGTTGTATGACTCTCATCCGACAGATCTTCGCGCGCTTACGAAATTTGTGGGAGTCACGCAATGTCATCTTCTGTCATCTTCCTTTACGGAAGTTTTGTTTTACAGAAATTTCCAAAAGATTTATATTCCAGCTTTCACGGACTCGATGTTTCATTACTAGTTTCTGCGCTTATAATAGCCTCGTAAATGCGGAATATGCGCATAATTAAGGTGCTTCTCGTGGAATTTATAGTTGTGTTCTTTTGTAGTTGTAACGTTGCTTGACTTTTCTCAAAGCATATAACAAATAGAGTCCTATAGAAAGAGAGAAGCGACTTTGACGTCGCAATTTCTGATTGATAATGTCCCTGCCTAATTAATGCAGCCATATATTGAGCCCGCAGTGGAGGTATACCTTCTGTATAAAAAGTACCGGGAATCGTTAAAAAAAACACAGAATATTTTATTTATTCATCAAAATTTATTTTGTCGCCTTCAAAGTAATCCCCATCGTTTGCAATGCACATGTGAAAACGGCGAAACCAATCCTCCATGCACTTCTGGTAGGCCGATTCTGGTATGGCCTTCAGGACACGCTGCGAATTCCGTTTGATGTCATCAATCGATGAAAAACGAGTACCACGGAGTGGCAATTTCAGTTTCGGGAAAAGAAAGAAGTCGCACGGTGCCAAATCAGGCGAATACGGTGGATGGTCGATAGAATTGACCGAGTTTTTGGCCTTGTAATCGGCCACAATCGTGGCTCTGTGCGCCGGCGCATTGTCGTCGTGTAAAATCCACGAATTGTCTCGCCACAATTCGGGCCTTTTTCGCCGGATATTTTCGCGTAAACGCCTCAAGACACTTAAATAATAGTCTTTATTGACTGTTTGGCCCTCGGGGAGAAATTGCCAACCTAAAAAAAAAAACATTTTACCGCTACCTCTTCCGCGGTTCATTTAAATGACAATTTCCCGGTACTTTTTATACAGAAGGTATGTATGTATAGGTATATACATTTCGTAAAAAAAATGCTAAATATCGTCATATTGAAGGCTCGATCGAGATAAAACACGCCTCACGATTGTCTGCTTTCTGTTATTCTTATATTTTTGCATCTAACGAGTTTCGAATTAATTTCGATAGTGGAAGCTTCTCTCTTTATAAAGGACTCTAATAACAAACAGTTAGACAAACATACTCAAGGCCAATTCACTCTTTTCTTAGTTGTTTTGGCACAGTGTGCATTCATATGCAAATTGAGATCTGTAAGCGCGATGGCCGATTACCGTGATAACAGACATTTTGCAACATAATAGAGGATTTCTAGGTATCGCATATTTCTCACGAGAGAGAACACTGTGCTATATCCGCGTCACCTCGACTTGATTTTCACCAGAAATTATAATCAAGGATATCGCTTGGTAACCTTATTATTTCTAAATGAATTATTCTGGATTCGTTTTCTCCTCTTATCAAAGGAAACTTACCAAAAGAAACGTTCCAAACTTACTAATTCACTTAATTTCATCAGTAACGTTTTCGATTGTGTCTCTTGATCAGTTAACTTTCGATATTATAGTAAAAGAGAATAGTTGACGCACGTAGTTTAAATTTAAAAAATTAATACTTTTACTTGAGATATTATTAAAAAAAAAAAAACGAATTTTCATGTTAATGCAATTAGAAGTATGGATTTTAGCTATTTTTTATCAACGCCAAATTTATTTAATATTATATGTCAAAAATATCTCAGTTAAATTACAAAAGAAAAATATTGTCACGTTTCAGTATCTAGATTCCAGGATACATACGCTAAAATGACAGTCGGAGAACGATATTTTTGTTTCGGGTCGTAAGGGTTGTCCCGATAAGAATTGTTATGACTAGCAACTTATACGCTCGCTTTGTTATATATGTAAATATGTATATATATTGTGAGCATGTATATGTATAGAGAGCACAGATCTATATAAACTATTGTAGAAGTTACCAAGTGATGCATCTTGGAACATGCTGTGTTTGACGATTATTTTTTTCTCCATCTTCGTTTGTCTCTACTGCATCTGTGATTGTATTAAACCGAGAAATTATCCACCTGGTAAGTGAAGCGCAAAACTCAATAATAATGTAACACTCGCAAAGTATTCAATTTACGAGCAATTAGTGCCCAAACGTTCACACGATTACTGCATTTTT